GGGTCTGGAAAGCATCCTGGAGTGTGGCGACAGCTGGGTAGTAGAAGTAGTGAAAGAAATTCAATAGATCTCATTAACACTTATTAGTGAACCTTTCTAGTTTTTTTTTTCCCAATCATTGACACATTGGTGCTAGCTATTCTCTGGGACTTCAGGGGTCCGATGGCCCCATTAGTTTCCATTTGAACCTCTCCATGCTGCTGTTGCTTCCCCTTCATGTTGCGAGATATTTCTCATACCTGTTTCCCAGGCCCAGGAAGAAGACATAAGTATTTTTCTAGCCTGGATCTGAGAGTCATGCTTTCATTTCTCCCTGTTTCCCTCACTATCCCTCCATGCCCTACACCTTGCCACATGATTCAGCAGTGTTTGACATGAAATAAGGTAAAAGTGAATAGAAGGTAAATTTTGAGCCTATCACAATTGTTATTTCCTTAACGGATATTCAGTTTTTAGGTAAGTTTGGTTTCTGTTGTGCCAGAGTGAAAGCACAGCAGGTAGCATTTTTTGTTGTTGTTATCTTTTCTTTTTGGGTCACACCCAGGAGTGCTCAGGGATTACTCCTGCTCTGCACTCAGGAACTATCCTGGCGATGCTTGGGGGACCACATGGGATGCCAGGGATTGAACACCTGACGCACCATACTATCGCTCTGGCCTAGAGCAGGTAGCATTTTTGCCTTGCACGTACCTGACTCTGGTTTTCTCCCCTGCACCACATATGACCCCTTGGGACCCACCAGGAATGATCACTGAGCAGAGAGCCAGGAGTAAGCCCCGAGCACCACCAAGTGTGGCATAAAAATAAAGAAAAATTGCTCTCTGGTTTTATTTTTGTCTTTGGAACAATAGTATCCTGAACATTGTACATGAAAACTCATTTGTATATCAGCTTGGATAAGTTTCTTCTGTGTCAGAATCTGGATTCCTAAGTTTGCATTTCTTTGACTAGTGAGGGCATATAATTTATTTGCTTGTAGGCAGTATAGACTTCATTTTCTCAGTTTGTTTGTTCAAGTAGTTATTTTAAACTTGAGTGTTCATAAATTTTCTATAAGGTATTGATTCTTTGCCAAAGGTTTCAAATATTTCAAATACTTTTTCCAAGGTTATGTAATTATTTTGACAGATGTATAGTATCATAACAGTTTCTTTCCTTATTTAAAATTTTAGCAGTGTCTTTGGAGACTTGTAGTAAACTAAGGATATTAAATGAATAGTCTGTCCTTTATCTTTTTTATTTGCTAAAGTCTTGAATATACAGGTGATTTTTCCCTATTCCTATTATTTTATTTAACATTTTCATTCCACTTTCAAAAACATTGCTACTCTGCGCTTTATGTTGTTTTTTGGTATGTAGCTGGGTAATAGCCTTTAATTAAGATCAATGTTTATGAAATGTTTTAGTGTAATTATCTTTATTCTTAAAGTCCAGGAAGTGGAATCAGCTGATTTTGACAAGGAATGTGACATTTGTTTGCAAATTCAAATTCAGATTGTTTTTCTGTATATGTATACCACCACACCATCCTAAAAAGTGTTAGATCATTATCCAATGTTTCCGTAAGGTGTGCATGATTATTCAGTGTTTCTGTAAAGTGTACATTTCTTTTTCTAGGTTTTTCTCAATTTTCGCCCCTATTTTTGGTTCTTATCAGTAAAATTATTTTTTCATAACACAGTAAAAAAAAACTATGAAGTTTTTCTGCTTTAGTCACTTAATCAGAAAAGAGAAAGCACCAATTATATTTTAGCATAACTTCCTCCCTTCCACCCTCCTTCCCTTTCCTCTTCATCTGGAAGTATGCTTAAAATCCCTTGCTCTGTGCTCAGGGGGTAATTCTGGTGCTGCTTAGGGGGATCATATATGGTGATGGGGATGGAACAGGGGTCAGCTCTAATGCTCTGTATGTCATGTTACAGAATTTATTTTTTTTTAAATTAATTTATTTATTTATTGAATCACTGTGGGAAAGGTTACAAAGCTTTCAGGTTTAGGTCTCAGTCATGCAAATATCAAACACATTTCCCTTTACCAATACTTATTTTTTACCATGAAGAACCCCAATAAAACCCCACCCACCACCCCTCCCAGTCCCTGTGAGGCAGATGAATTCTAGTTAACACTCTATCTGCTTTGATTAGATTCACTGTTTCAATAAAAGATTCAACACTATTATTTAGAGTTTACCCCCCCCCCCCCCCCCAAATCAGACATGCTGAAAAAGCATTGTGAAGTGATTTGCTTTCTACAGCTGGGTTCAAGAATTAAATGTTGGTTTTGGATTTCTGCTATTTTACCTATTGACCCTGGAAGTATTTCTACTGAAAGTCAGATAGTTAAGAAATTGGTTTCTGTGTTCTGGAGTCGTGGCCGTGCTGGAGAGCCACTCGTGGGGGTCAACTGGTGGCCTTGGTAGGGCGTGAAGGGCGGACCGAAACGCCCCCCTTCCCATGAGGTTTTAGTCGCCCCCACACCCCCGGCCCATACCTGCTGTCCACAAGGCTCCCATGTGGCCGCCATCTTTCTTTCCAGAGAGGAGAGGGCGAATGGGGCAACACCCTTTCCCCTCTGGACAGACATGATGGCCTGGATTAACGCATAGTCCTTTCACTTTTCTGCTCCAAGGTGCTGGTTTCTGCATTAAGTCCTTGTGCTTCTGGGGCTGAGGCCATGCTGGAGAGCTGCTCGTGGGGGGCACATGTTACAGAATTTAAAATTCAGCTAACTTTGAGTACTACTGGGAATATTATAAAAGGAAAAAATTACATTTGCTCTTATAGAAGATCTCAGTGAATGCTACTTGAGTAGGTGGAAGAAAGGAGAGTTAGGCATTATCTGACACAGACATTCTGTTGCATTAAAATAAGGTAGTAATAATGGGTGTGTTGCTCTCCAAGAAATTGGACATTCCTTGGACATGGGGGAGGAAGACAAGGGATGTCTTAGGTTGTTCAGTATCTAAGTTTGCCTTTTGGGTTAAAGATTCTCAGTGCAGGAATATCACATTTCAGATAGCCACGGAGTTAGTTTTTAATGTGCTATACAAAGAGCTAAAATATGCCTTTTATACACAGTCACCAAATAGTACTTTACCATACTTGCTGTTTTCTATCCCTCCCTCCCCCGCCGAATGAAGAAAATGTACTCATGTTGCTCCTCTACCTCTAATGACTCCCCTGAATATTCCCTAAAAACCAGTTCTGTATTTGAACATCAAGAAATTAACACAGATTTAACATTATTACCTATGGTGCCTACACAGGGTCTAGGACAGTTTCAGTTGTACTAGTAAGATTTTTTTCCCTTAAATTGGAAATAAATCATTCAGAGTTTGAATAGGATCACTCATTATATTTATTTAGTATTCTTAAACCTGAAAGTCTTTCAGTCTCTCTCTAGTAGAAATTTGAATGGTTTGAGCACTATAGGTGCATGATGGTGGTGGTAGTCCATTGATGTGGGAAACAGATTATGGTCTTTGAATCACAGAGAATTATCACAGTTGTGGATATAGATTATCTACTGTCAGTGTTCTGGAAATGTAGAAACATTCATTACTCAGCAATACCTTGTATTGATTTTTTTTCACATCAGGTGATGAATTAATTTATCTGGATCAGAGACTAGATGGAGTGGCTGGGTACATATGCATATACATGTGTATATGTTTATAAATATATGTGTGTATATCCAATACATTTATGGACACATTCCCATCCTTAAACAAAAGTATATATATATATATACAGTATAAATTCTTTTTTTCTGTCAACACAGCATCCATCAAGACAACAGTCTTGCGGCACAAATGGAGATTTTTAAGTCTGCTTTAGACACATAGTCTCTCTGCTAGGTTTTTACCTCTGCTCAGGGTATAGATCCTTTCTGTTTCCTCTCTCTATCACCATTTTGCAAACAATGTCATTTTGCATTTCTGCCTACTGGTATCTAACTTTTTCTGTAGTTATCTTTCTGTTACTCTTTTTGCTTATCTGTAAGCACCGGTGATGAAATAGAATCTGTTAAAAGAGAAAGTCATAATACTAGCTAATATTTATTAACTATGCATATTGTATTATACCTTTAATTGATGTTCTAAGCAAATAGGTTTTCTTTTGTGTCATAGATTGAGTATTGTTTTTATTTTATGTTATGTAGACTAGATATATGATCTCCATACATATGAGTTTGCTCTGAGTATAATACCATGTGCAATGGTGACTTACTGGTTGTTCTCATTATTTACTGTCTCACTTTCAGAGCTATGGTTGAGTGGTAAAAAGGTAGAATTTATTATTGAAAGACTTTATTGACTTGAATTTGAATCCACAACTGTGAATTTGCTCAAAGTACTGTTTTTTCCTTTTTGGGTTACACCCAGCAGTGCTCAGGAGTTACTCCTGGCTTTGCACTCAGGAATTACTCCTGGCAGTGCTCAGGGGACCATATGGGATGCCGGGGATTGAACCCTGGTTGGCTGCGTGCAAGGCAAACTCCTTACCCACTGTGCTATCACTCCGGCCCTGCTTAAAGTACTTTTAAAAATAAAAAAAATTTTTTCTCCTTATTAAACATGGGGATAATGTTGCCAATTTTTAGTGGCTAAGTTCCAATTGTAAGTCAAATAATATTAATGATTATTGAAAATTTAGCATATATTTTTACTGATGTATTGTTATGATTATACAGCTATATATTAGATATATATATATATATATATATATATTTGCACCTCTTCAGAATATATACTATCAACATATCCTACTGCCACAATTCATTAGACCACTTTACCTAACTGATTTCACCCTCTAGATATTAAAAACATATTAAAAGTTTAGTTTAGAGTCCAGCACAAATTAGGAATGCAAGAATAGCATCTGGTATTTTATTTTCTGCCATCTGGTGGTTATCCACTATTTAGGTTTTTCCACTAACTGTAGAGTGATTGTCCTGTTTATTTCGTGTTTGCTCAAAAATTTTCTTAATGTCTTCCTCAGGATTTTGTCTCTACGATCATCCGTTTACTGGACAGCCCCTCAACTGCCATTCGAGCAAAAGCCTTTCTGGTTCTTTTATATGTTTTGGTTCACAACCAGGAGATGTTACTGTTCAGCTGCCAAGCAAGGTATGATTTTCACTGACCCTTTAGTTTGGTGTCTTATTAGTTTAGTGATTGGTATTCCTTGGCCTTTATTTGGTGTTGATTTTTTTTTCCTCGATCTTGCCTAGGGTGTATATTTTACTCATAAGCTCAGTGGGGAAGCTTGAGGACTGAGAGGAGGCCCGTGGAACAGAGGCAGGGTGGTGGGAAAGAGCTGGAGTTGCCTAGATCTGAGGACAAGCCAACGGGGTTGACATCATGTTTGGTTTGTGTCTTTGGGAGGAATTCTTGGATCAGTAACCGGGTCGTATTTTTCATGGTCCTGGGGCTCTGGAGCAAGTCACTGAAAGCTGAATAGCCAGGGAAGGGAGAGGAGGAGACAGAGCAGACTTGGATTTGGGGATGGGGTAGTGGTGTATAGATTAGTTCTCAGCAGGGAGGAGTTTCTATGGGTTCCCTTCCTTCCTCTCAAAGGAGGATCTGTTCTATATGTTTCGTCACTGAGATGCTTTCTAATTAAGGTCTTCTGAACTGTCTGAGATCCAGAGGGATCTTGGAAGTAGGGCTTTGTACCTATTTCTTAATCTGGCCCTCTGCTTTTTGTAGCTACAGAAGAGACCCGATTTGCTGAGATGAATCTGGACTAGGAGACTCCCAAACCTTTCCTTGCAAGCAGTCAAAGTGTAAATGTTTTAGAATTTGTGGGTCAGCCTGTAAAATTGTGGAAATTGTATATTTATATGAGAGAAAATTGGTTTTCCATAAATTTTTGCTGACATACAAAAATTCTGGTACTGATCATTGAGCACATTTTGTTGTTATTTTGTGGTACAGGGCTACTAATATGAATAATAGAGGTTTCTTTAAGGGGTGCGAGGCACCATTTAGCTGAGTCAGGGGTCAAAGTTAGGGTTCCCATTGTCAAATGAATTATAAATGCTCGTGTTAGTGCTAATCTTGAGTGCAGTGGTATGTGTATTTTCTGTTGTCTCTAGTTGTGAGGGGCATACCTGGTAGTTCTGGAAAGGGTGATGGTGGGGAGGATGTACTGGTACCACTCAGGGATCATGTGGTATGGGGGATCAAATCTGGGGCTTCACACATGTCAAGACCTTTTGAACCACATTCCCTGTCCATCTCTTTTCTCACTGATAGGGAGGCAGGCTGTGTGCACTAGCCATTCCTCAGCATGGGGGAACGATGGCTTGGACTCACCCTCTTAAGGGTGCTGTTGGATGCCTCCTTGATGCTTGCTTTCACCACATATCAGAGAAAATATAGTGGATGCTCCTACCTCGCTTCCTACATTTCCCATTGTTTAGGGACCACTGTCCTTTGCTGTTTTCTCTCCTGTGTCTCGAAAGCTGATATTTCATGTGTTGGTCTATTTTAAGTTACTTTAGATGGTTCTCTCCCTTTCGAGGTCAGGTCTTTAGGGCCAGAAACAGGGGCTGCTCCTGTTTATTTTGAAAGATTCACGACCATTTTCCCGCCTCTAGTTCCCTCTTCTGTCTGCCTTTATTTTCACCAGGCCCTAGATCTCAACACTGCCTTTCTATCCTTTCTTAGTCTCCCCGTCTGGCTGCCATGTAATCCTTGACACAGTGGGGGACTGGCATTTGTCTTCTGCCCCCCGTCCTCCTCCTCCAGGGACACTTGTGTTGCGGCAGCCAGACCCCTGCCCCTTCCCACAGCTTTCACCACTGACCTCACTGAGTCTGTGCCACCTCTTTGCCCTCATCTTTGTCACTCTCCTGTGTTCTGTCGCCATTCCAGACATGGCCTTTCTGTCACTTTGGAACACGCTGGTCCTTCCATACTCACCTCAGCGCTTCATTGGGGTGTTTGTATGGCTGCCTTCCTTAGATCACTTAGGTTTCTTTTCAGCTGAGGGGTTTATTTTTTCTGAGAATCATCCTGCCTGTTAAAAATCCCGTGTGGAAACTTGAATGTAGCTTGTTGGTGGTGTGCGTGTCTTGCTTGTGTGAGACTCTGGGTCTGATCACATGTGCCCACCTACCCCACGCGCTTCCCCATAACCTCAACTCCAGAAACTCTGGGTCTGATTACAATGTGCCTACCTATCCCACGTGCTCCCCCTCAACCTCAACTCCAGAAACTCAACGAATTAAACCACTCAGACTGTCAGAGCCTGGACTCAGTGCATTTGGTCTTCCCATTCAATTGCTGTGATGGCAAGACTGTGATCTGAATGCATATCTGATCCTACTTCTACTTTGCTCTCTCTCTCTCTCTCTCTCTCTCTCTCTCTCTCTCTCTCTCTCTCTCTCAGGCCGAGCTTCTTAAACAGAACTTGCAATCCCATATGAGACCATATAACTATTGGGAGAGGGGTGGAAGTCATGCAAAATGTGAAATGAAGTCTTTATGATTTATTATCAGAAAATGTTTGATTTGTAAGCCTATTTTTTTATTTTTTTATTTTTATTTATTTATTTTTTTACAGTTGTAGATTTACAATTTTTTTTGTGCTTGGGTTTCAATTATACAATGATCAGATACCCATCCCTCCACCAGTGCCCGTTTTTCACCACCATGGATAATATCCCTCCCACCCCCATCCCCCCATCCCCCCCTGCCTCTGTGGCAGGGCAATCCCCTGTGTTCTCTCTCTCCGTTTGGGTGTTGTGGTCTGCAAAAGAGGCATTGAGTGGCAAACATGTTCAGTCCATAGTCTACTTTCGACATGCATCTCCCCTCCTGGGAGGATCCTCCAAACATCCTTTATTTGGTGCTCCCTTCTCTATCTGAACTGCCCTTTCCTCTAGGATACCCGGCTGGCCTCTAAGTTATGGAGTAATCCTCCTGGTGCTGATCTCAGCTATTCTTGGGTATTAATCTCATACTTTGTTACTTTATATCCCCCAGATGAATGCAATCTTTCTATGTCTATCCCTCTCTTTCTGACTCATTTCGCTTAGCATGATACTTTCCATATTGTACCACTTGTATGTAAATTTCATGACTTCATCTTTTCTAACAGTTACATAGTACTCCATTGTGTAGATGTACCAAAGTTTCTTTAACCAGTCATCTGTTCTTGGGCATTCAGGTTTCTTCCAGTTTCTGGCTATTTGTAAGCCTATTTTATAAACCTATATACTCATAATATCTCAGAGAGCCCGGAAAGCTACCTAGAGTATCCTGCCCATAGGGAAGAGCTTGCTTGACAAGCTCCCCATGGCGTATTTGATATTCCAAAAATAGTAACAACAAGTCTTGCAATGGAGATGTTACTTGTGCGTGCTCGAGCAAATTGATGAACAACGGGAGGACAGTGCAGGACAGTGCTACAGTACTATATACTCATGATAGAAGAAAAAAATATTTTTTCAGTTGAAAAGGGGTCAACTGGTGGGGGTTGCTGAGTGATTTTTTTTTCTGAAAAGGGGAGTTAGGCCAGAAGAGTTTGAGAGCCTCTACTTGAGAGCCTCTCGGTGAGCAACACACACAGGAGGAGTGAGATGGGGTGAGGAGAGGGTAGTTTTGTGTGTGGGGGAGAGGGGCAGCACTCCTATTTCCAGGAGCTCTGCAGGAGGACTGCCTGAGAGTGTGAGGCAGCTGGGGGTTTCCTTGCTTTCTGCTCCCGAGAGAGCAGCCTTCTGTCTCCACCTGCTCCCTCACTGGTTGGGGACAGGCGACAAAGTGCTGAGCCAGCAGAGGTTCGTTATATCCGTGGAAAGACACCGGGCTTGAAAGAAGAACCACGAGAGCAGACAAGTCTTACAGAGGCAGAACTAATGGAAGAGACAGATTTCTTTAGCAAACAAGTAATGAAAACTCTATGGAGAGGCAGTTTTTGGAAACTCAGCAGAAGAACTGAAAGAAAATGGCCTCTGCTGGGGACAGGCTGGGAGCTTTGAAAGCGGATATGAAAGGGCGCATTGAAGCACAGATCCCAGTACAAAGACACGGGGAATCCGTGTGAAACCGTAGGCAAGAGGGAGCGGAGATTCAGGAGACCTCACGTGCAAAGTGCTGGGGTTCCAGGAGGAGCAAAGGAACAGATGGAGGAGGACCTGCCACTGAAGAAACGAAGATCAGCGTCTTCTGCTTGAACATGCTCTTTGATTCTCTGTGAAACTATGAGTGAAGCGGTTGAAAAGGCGCAAAGCTATGAGGCAAAGGGAGGGGGGAAGATGGCTAAGGCAGGCAAGCGTTGTTGCTGCCTGAATTTTGGAATCTGCCAAGCTGCTGATGAGTATTTGCTGACTTAGAACATTGCCAAACTCCCAGTTATCCACAAGTAGCTAGTGGTTGTGGCATGGTGGAACTCTGAAAAAGTCAGGAAGTGCAGGTACTGGACATTTTGGTGATCAGAGGGAGGTGAAGCTCAAAGTGTAAAGATTGAAGGGAAGGCTGCATGGATTTTTGATTTCTTGCTTTCCTTCAGACCTTGCAGGATACCTTCCCCCAACCCCCCCAACACACACACACACACACACACACACACACACACACACACACACACACACACTGTTGGCAGGAGATTTTCAGTATATTCTGCATGATGTGAACTGGAAAGATTGTTATATAGTGTTTCCAGATATAGAAAAAGAGGGCAATGAGGTGCTTGGGGGAAACAACAGAGGGTTGTATGAAGGTTTGATTTCTAAAGCTTGAGGGTTTAATTCTCTCCTGCTACTGATTGGTAGATTGCTGGCATCCTGATTTGCCTACCGGGCTGAGTTTGGACATTCATCCCATCCCTCTAGGACTGGCATTAAGACATCCTTGACTGCATCTTGACATCTTGACTAATAATCCTGTAGTAGAACCCATCAGACATATACCCTGTTGTGCATACAGACCTTCCAGCTATACTCCAGTGTACTGTTTAAAAATATCCACAGGCAAGCAGGAATTATAGCTAGTTGAGAATACCTTCTAACATGAAATGCACAACCAGAACTCAACAGATATTAGAGACTTGCTAGAAACAGGTCAGAGTTATGAACAGACAGTTCATGGGAAAGGAATGAGGCATAAACCCTCAAGCACAT